AGGAGTTGTTTTAAGTAAATAAAATTTTTATATACATTTAAATGCTCTTTTGTGATTAATTGTAATAGCTGATTAAAAGGTGTGACAACTTTCCCATCCAACTTTGAAATCCTACGCAGTCAAAACATCGGTGTAAGTTATACACCGCAAACGTAACTTTTTCACTCAAACCAAAAAGCTCTCACATACACACACACACACACACACACACACACACCATCACAAAACGAACTGGTAAAGACAAAAACAATATTACATCGGGAAAACTTCACCGACCCTAGTATAAATTCTATCCGCAACAACTCCAAGACATGAATGGACAGAGTTTGAAACAGGCCTCGGTGAAAACTTCACCGACCTTAGTATGAACTCGACTGTCAACAATTCCTAAACATACATGTAACAACTTTGAAACCTACCTAGGTGAAAACTTCACCGACGCTAGTATACATTCTACCCACAACAATTCCAAGAACATGTATGTACCAACATGCCTCGGTGTTAACAAAACTCCCTCGACTCTAGTGTAAACTCTACCCCTAACAATTCCTAAACATACATGGTCTAGCTTCGAACCCTGCCTCGGTGAAAACTTCACCGACCCTAGTATAGACTCTACACCAACCCCTTCCAAAACATCGTGTACCAACATCACTCGGTGAAAACTTCATCGAGCCTAGTATGAACACGGCCCACCCCAATTCCTAAAACATGCCTGTATCAACTTTGTAACCTGCCTCGGTGAAAACTTCACCGACCCTAGTTTGAAACCTACCAACTCCAAAGCATGCATGTAACAACTTTGAACCAAGCCATGGTGAAACCAAAACCATACCACCCTAGTATAAACTCTACACCTAGCAATTCTTAAACATGTATGGTTCGAGTTCAAAACCAACCTCGGTGAAAACTTCACCGACCCTCGTATAAACTCTACACCTAGTAATTCTTAAACATGTATGGTTCGAGTTCAAAACCAACCTCAGTGAAAACTTCACCGACCCTCGTATAAACTCTACACCAACCAACAACAAAACATTGCCTCGGTGAAAACCAAAAACCTATGATACTGTCCGTATAACTGTTAGTGAAAAGCACGGGATCCAACCGGGGGGAAAAAACCGATTAACGTGGTAACAGATGTTCCCACACTTAACGCTGGCTTCGCGGAGAGACACTTAATGTACGTCGTTAATTATCATACCCCCTGCTGTGTTCGTTTCGGCGAACAACACATAAATCACCATGACCCGTCAAATCGAGCGGGGAAACTCGGTGAAGCATAACAAAATTTAATTAGGTGTGATGGGCCAGCGGCTGCGATCAATACATTCCCATTAAAACGGGCAGCGGTGAGAAAACTTCGCGGGCGGGTCGATACGTAACAGCTGTGGCTGATCGTTATCTTTAATGGATGTTCTATTTTTGTAACGTTCGTTGTGTTGGAGAATGGTCCCTATACAAAGACTGTTCTAGTACATGCTAGTGTTAGTCTTTTATTTAAAACATACATACATTCAAATAAATAAACAACATTAAACAACAAAGAAAAGAAATATATCAAATAAATAAATAAACAAAAGTAATTAAAATCAAATTACGTAACTAGTTAATAATAATTTAACTAATTATAAAATAAAATAAAATTAAAAATAAACAAAATAAAAATAATTAAAAAGTAAACAAATAATCAAATTACGTAACTCGTTAATAAAAATTACACAATATAAACAAAGTAATTAAATTAAACAACAAGTAAACAAACAAATTAAACAAACAAAACACAAACAAAGTAATTAAATTACGTAACTAATTAAAAAACTAATTAAAATTTAAAAATTAAATTAAAACTAATTAAAAACGCATTAAAATTACGTAACTAGGTCAGTGATGACGTCACAAAGTCACTAATTACGTCACAAAGTCACTAATTACGTCACAAGGTCAATGATTACGTCACAAGGTCACCAAAAGGTGACTCACCCTTCACTCCTCCGCCAACACCAGTTGGCGTAGTATTTTACTATATGTCTTTGCGCATCCGCATCCGCTCCTCCGGCAGTTGGCGTACACTCCTCCCCATCCCGATGCGCCAGGCTGGGAGTATTTTGCTATATGTCATTGCGCATCCCGCGCATCCTGCTCCCGAGTATTTTACTATATGTCATTGCTCCTCCCCATCCGCTCCTCCGCCAAAAATGCGGTCCAAAAGCGACCTAATATACTACTTAGGATTGAGTTACCTTAAAGATACCAATAAACCTATTTGTTTAGCTGGAGTTACCTTTAAGATACCAATAAACCTATTTGTTTAGCTGGAGTTACCTTTAGGATACCAATTACAGTAGGATTGAGTTACCTTAAAGATACCAATAAACCTATTTGTTTAGCTGGAGTTACCTTTAAGATACCAATAAACCAATGACTCGAGACGGTAGTGCCGTCTGTTCTGTAGAGCCGCTATTTTTTTTACCTGGCAGTGGAAGCTACTGGAAGCCTGTGAACAGGTGAACCCTGTGTGACGTCACACGACCCCTATCAATAAATCACCTATTGGCTTATCGATGACCTGGTTCTAATTGGGTCATTATTGTCTCGCCATGCCGGTCTGGTCGATTAACTAGGTCAATTGTGCTGGATGCCATAGTGTGAGCTTAATTTTGGACACACAGAAGGTTGTGATCTAAATCATATATTGAGAGCTTAATTGTTGACATAATGTGGGAGCTTAGTTGAAATATTGAGTGCATTGTGAGTTTAATCTACACCATTTCTGTTGGATCTAGGTGAAGTTGATTCAGAATTTTAGCTAAATGTTAAATTTCGTGTTGATTGCTAATGCAATAAATTATCTTAAAGGCCAGCTAAAATATTTTATCCTAGAAAAATGTACTCATTACGTTTTAAGAATGCCAGTGCATCTTTTTTTTTTAGCAAGCTAAATACGCTGTAATTAAAGTTGGGCATTATGTATTTTTTAGCAAGCTAAATACGCTTTAATTAAAGTTGGGCATTATGTATTTTTTAGCAAGCTAAATACGCTTTAATTAAAGTTGCGCATCATGTATGATTTTATTGTAAAGTTTGACTTTACGAAACGGCCCCGTGTTAATGTAGTGGTGTTATTTATCAATAAGTCGTATTGAAAAATATGTCGGCCTACAAGATTAGATTAAGCTCATATATCTGCTCTAAAGTCATCTTTGTGTCACAATGTTGTAGTCATACAGGTGGAGTTGATGGGTTAAAAGATCTAATGGTAAAAGAAAGGTGCAAATGTCTGAACAGCTTACGGCAAAGTGTTGGGGGGGGGGGGGGGGGGGGGGTAAAAGTGGAGGTAGAGCTACGGATGACGTAATGAAAAGCTTTCATGATCCCTCATCAGCCCTCTCCGGATTATAATTTATGCTAACGCTAATGTTGTGACGTCATGCCTCTCCTGATTATAATTTATGCTAACGCTACGGTGGTGACGTCATGCCTCTGATCAGAAGGTGAACGCTAATTTGAAACACTTGAGCAAATCTGCTCAGGGTTGTGTGAATGTGTGTGTGTGAATGTGTGTGTGTGGATGTGTGTGTGTAACCAGTAGGGTGTGAGTTACATAACCTCTGACGTCACTTCTGGTCAGGTTTTTAACTGACGACTGCTTGTGTGGGTCGTTCGCTCTTTGAATTCTGCGAAAGGGGAAAATATCCATCATGTGGTTAAGATGTGGGTGTTGTGTGGTTACGGTGTGGGTGTTGTGTGGTTTGTGTGGATACAATTAAAGCATTGTGGTAATTGTGTTAGTAGTCCAAAATGGTGAGGCGCTTCAGGTGTGTACAACTTTTCTACATGTGTACATTTTTCAGTTTGTACAACATTCTGTGATTTGTACCTTTTTTTTTGTCTGGTACAATACTGGATTTGAACGTTTGTAGATTTACACAAAATTTAACGATGTGTACGCTACTACATTCATTCGGCATTTCTAGTTTTCTTACAATGTTTCTAGATTCGTACGTTTTAAGCTTTGTACAACATTTCAAGTTGTATACAACATTTCAAGTTGTGTACAACATTTCAAGTTGTGTACAACATTTCAAGTTTTGTATAAGATTTCAAGTTGTATACAACATTTCAAGTTGTATACAACATTTCAAGTTGTGTACAAAATTTCAACATCAAGTTGTGTACAACATTTCAAGTTGTGTACAAAATTTCAACATCAAGTTGTGTACAACATTTCAAGTTGTGTACAAAATTTCAACATCAAGTTGTGTACAACATTTCAAGTTGTGTACAAAATTTCAACATCAAGTTGTGTACAACATTTCAACATCAAGTTGTGTACAATATTTCAAGTAGTGTACAGTATCTGTTCTCCCTTACCTCACGACACCTGTAAACCTAACTTAAAACCAGAACTCAAAAATCTGATGGCTGTTTGCTGTATTAAATGTTGACCTGCGCGCACCAAACCACCTCGATCGTGTGTGTGTGTGTACCAGCTCGTTCGTGTGTTCTTGTATGCAAGTGTGTGTGTCTAAGTGTACCTGTGTGTGTGTGTGTGTTCGTGTGTTCCTATTCGTATGTGTGCTAGTGTTCGTTTTCATGTGTTTGTGTGCGTGTCCGTGGTATACGTGCATGCGTGTGCCCCCTATCAGATAAACACATTTACAACACTGTGTTGGGAATCAAAGTCTACCACAGCCTTCTCCAAGTTAGACAAAACCGACTAGCATGTCGTCATGATTAGACTGTGAACGTGAGAGTAGACAGATTTTTAGCAGTTTTAAGTTGCCCCTAATTCATTAAACATATATCCTTTAATTATTCACAGAATTCGTTAGTTCACACATTGATCAAATCTATCTCCGTTAGTGTCTTAGTAACATTTTTTAAAAAATTTCCTGAAAGCTTTTCAACCGAGTGAATCGTCCGCTCCGTTCCACCCGTCGCGTTCTTTTCATCACTAGAGTTACCGTTCTTGATATTCTCCTTGTTGCCTTTATTAGGGGACTTTATACTGATGCGGTGAATTTGTTATAAGTCTTCACACTGCGCACGTTAATATCTGACAGGGAAAAAAAAGTTCCACGAATGTTGGATTAAAACTGTAGACTTTATCCGACTCAGTGTGTGTTCATTATGTCGGATGTGTGAAAACCCGGACTTTGACTGAGTGTGTTCATTATGTCGGATGTGTGAAAACCCGGACTTTGACTGAGTGTGTTCATTATGTCGACCAACGCCAGTCGGACTGTAGTGGACGCGGGGACCAATTCTCGCACAGGTGCGCGATCTGACGCGAAGGTCGACTCGCTGCGTCACTCGTCTTGGAGTCTCTCCCCTCCCCCCTCACCGGACATGAAAAGATCCGAGTCGAAGAAAAGTGACGACGACGACGATGATATTTTCGATGTCGGCGTCAGCCCAGGGGCGTCAGCGGCGTCACCGAAAGCTCCCACCAACAACGTCGTCCGGCGTCACGTGAAGCAGCGTCTGTCGGACGACGGCTCGTCCTGCACGGTGAAGAGCTCCTCCCTGGCCTCCATCAGCGAGGAGGAGGTGCTGAGCATGTTGGAGACGCTGGGGGAGCGGGAGATCATGTCTGCCATGCCGCCCTGCGACTGTGACGAGTGTCTGCTGCAGGACCCTCAGCCCGAGACCCCCGGCCTCAAGAAGCTGCTCAAGCGGGTAAGTTGCTCTGGTCTCCCGTCGCTGTCCTGTGTTTGCCCAGTGCTGTCCCAGTTGCTGTCCTGTGTTTGTCCAGCTGCTGTCCTATGTTTGTCCAGTTGCTGTCCGGTGTTTGTCCAGTTGCTGTCCTGTGTTTGTCCAGTGCTGTCCCATTTGCTGTCCAGTGTTTGTCCAGTGCTGTCCTGTGTTTGTCCAGTGCTGTCCTGTGTTTGTCCAGTGCTGTCCCATTTGCTGTCCTGTGTTTGTCCAGTGATGTCCCAGTTGCTGTCCAGTGTTTGTCCAGTGCTGTCCTGTGTTTGTCCAGTGCTGTCCTGTGTTTGTCCAGTGCTGTCCTGTGTTTGTCCAGTTGCTGTCCTGTGTTTGTCCAGTTGCTGTCCTGTGTTTGTCCAGTGCTGTCCCAGTTGCTGTCCTGTGTTTGTCCAGTAGCTGTCCTGTGTTTGTCCAGTTGCTGTCCTGTGTTTGTCCAGTGATGTCCCAGTTGCTGTACTGTGTTTGTCCAGTTGCTGTCCTGTGTTTGTCCAGTTGCTGTCCTGTGTTTGTCCAGTTGCTGTCCTGTGTTTGTCCAGTTACTGTCCTGTGTTTGTCCAGTTGCTGTCCTGTGTTTGTCCAGTTGCTGTCCTGTGTTTGTCCAGTTGCTGTTCTGTGTTTGTCCAGTTACTGTCCTGTGTTTGTCCAGTTGCTGTCCTGTGTTTGTCCAGTTGCTGTCCTGTGTTTGTCCAGTTGCTGTTCTGTGTTTGTCCAGTTACTGTCCTGTGTTTGTCCAGTTGCTGTCCTGTGTTTGTCCAGTTGCTGTCCTGTGTTTGTCCAGTTGCTGTTCTGTGTTTGTCCAGTTACTGTCCTGTGTTTGTCCAGTTGCTGTCCTGTGTTTGTCAAGTTGCTGTCCGGTGTTTGTCCAGTTGCTGTCCTGTGTTTGTCCAGTTGCTGTCCTGTGTTTGTCCAGTTGCTGTCCTGTGTTTGTCCAGCTGCTGTCCAGTGTTTGTCCAGTTGCCTTCCTGTGTTTGTCCATTAGCTGTCCAGTCGAGTGTTTTGTCCAGTCCACCTGACGGACTACCCAAAGCACTCATACAGGCTGATTGTGTTTTCTCTTTACCAACTCATAAAAAAGTCTTGCTAGGTCGAGAAACAGGCTGAAGTTTTTTTTGTCCAAGTCATATTTCGGCTATTTCCACTGTTTATTTGTCGTTTGTTCCACATCGGTGTCTTTTACCCAAATACTTGTCTTTTTTCCGTATACTATTTTTTTATCAATACTTGCCTTCTCTTCCCTCTCCCCCCCCCCCCCCAGACACACATACTCCCGTCTACTAATATTTTTATTAATACCTGCATTTCCCCTGTACAGTGTATAGGCCTACTTCTTTTGCCCCTTTACATTGCAACCTTACTCCCATTTTTTTTAAAAACTAAAAAGCCTTTAGACTATATAGCCTTTAATTTATAGGCAAAGGCTCTAGTTATGCTTCTAACACAGTACTGTACTTGTGATTGTTATTCCCCAACAATGTGATCGAACATTCAAAAAATAGTTATGGCTGTTGTTTTTTGAAAGGACGAAACCACATTATGTTAGCTGACTCAGCATTTGTTTCGCTGGTCTTAAATACCTTACTCCTGTCTCACTCGGAAAGTTAAGGTTATATATGTACGTACTCACATAATCCCACACCTGTACGTACTCACACAATACCACACCTGTACGTACTCACACAATCCCACACCTGTACTCACACAATCCCACACCTGTTAGTACTCACACAATCCCACAACTGTACATGTACGTGCTCACACAATCCCACACTTGTAGATGTACTTACTCACACAATCCCACACATGTACGTGTACGTACTTACACAATCCCACACCTGTACGTACTTACACAATCCCACACCTGTACGTACTTACACAATCCCACACCTGTACGTACTTACACAATCCCACACCTGTACGTACTTACACAATCCCACACCTGTACGTACTCACACAATCCCACACCTGTACATGTACGTACTCACACAATCCCACACCTGTACATGTACGTACTCACACAATCCCACACATGTACGTACTCACACAACCCCACACCTGTACGTACTCACACAATCCCACACCTGTTTTCGCTTCAAAACAACAGCACTATATAAAAAATGACATATCAAACGGAAACCGCAATAAATAAAACGTGAAACAGACATAAAAGAAACCCACGTTTACTTCATATAAATCATAACGAACACGAACTTCATCAACGATCACAATTAATAACACGCAATTGATAAATCTCAACTGGTAAAGTTAAATGGTACATTCACTTTAGCTTCAGACAGTAACAATAGTTCATGACAAACTGAGCACACTTTAAACACTTGTAATAAAATCTAGCGAGGAAGAATTTACGATTTTTTAAAAAACCCTATCACCTCTTCCATTCACAATCCAATAATCAAACAATTAAAAACTGACTTTAAAACCTAATTCTACCGACACTTTAGTTTTCCTTTTCAGTGTAAATATTTTAATTTTTAAAAAGGTTTCGAATAGAATAATTTTAGACGAAAACGTGTAATATTAAAGGGAGAGTATCCTACCTAACCTAGTAGTATAAACATTATCGTTGTTATGTCCCTTGAATTAATCCCTTCTTTACATTAAAACTAAGGAATGTACTCACACAATCCCACACCTGTACATGTACGTACTCATCAATTAATCTAATAAGATAAATATGTTTAACTACAGATTTAGCATTAGGACCAGTGGCGTAGCGAGGTCGGCTGTCACCCGGGGCGACACCTAATGGCACCCCCACCCCCTAAAGAAATATATATATATATATATATATATATATATATATATATATATATATATATATATATATATATATGTATGTATATATATATATATATATATATATATATATATATATATATATATATATATATATATATATATATATATATATATGAGTATGTGTATACGCATGTGTATATGTATTCAAATATTTTTTCTAGATGTATTTAAAAAAAATTACACCCACCCACCACCCCCATCCCATACATGGATTAACATATAAGTTACAAGGATTCTCTACCTAACTTGCGATTGCCTTAAGTGCTCGGATAATACTAACGATGTTTATCTATAGTCGGTTATAAATACTGCTGGATGTAGCATGTCTTCTCTTCCCTTGTTGGGACTTGTCAACTTAGCTCTTAAAAGACTAACTCACTGTAATTAATCGTTTAATTAAGTGGAACTCTCATTTTTCTGTATATGTTTGCCTTGGTGTCACCCATCCCCCTAAATGGTGTCAGCCGGTGCGGTCCCTAACCCCCTCCCACCCCCCACCCCACACCCCTCCCAGCTACGCCTATGATTAAGGCTTGAACAGATTTTCAGTAACGGAAAAAATTCAACCAATGGCAGCCGATGTTTGTCTTTCCGTGCTTTATTTTTAATCCTTCACCTGTTTGTACAAGATCCAAAGCACATAGAAAGTAAGTTTTGTTTGAGTTTGTAGATCCTTAAAATCACGACTTTAAAGGACATCTTTGCTTTGCAAATTTTGTTGTTTTTGCTTTCTCGTATACGAAGTAGGCCTATTGAGAAAGTAATGTAATCGTGCAAAAAAAAAGTCGAGATTTTCACAGATCTCGACGTTTTACACCTCTCTGAGCCGAAAAAAAAAACAGTTTTGCAAATGTGTCCGTATGTCGGTGTGTGTATGTGTATGTCTGTGAACACGATAACTTGAGTACCGTTACAGCTAGGTTGCTGAAATTAAATATATAATAATTCTATCAAGTTTGTAGTTCTGTCTCAACCGTTCAGCGATTTCCGGTAACCGGAAGTGGAACTTTTTCTACTTTCAATTTTTCAAAAGCCTATAACTTGAGTACTATTTCAGACAGATCAATGAAATTTCACAAATAAGTTAAAAATCTAATTCTCCGCTTTTTCCTATTTCTCAAAAAACGCATGCGAATTTATAAAGTACTAAAAATATAATATTATATTATACAAAGATTGTTTGGCGTTCACTTGGTGCGCAATTCTTTTTCTACGAGATTCTATTCTATTTTCAAAAGTTTAGTAATTTAAAATGGATTAAAAATCATGTCTATATCCCGAGTTGCTATCCCCCGTAGTGTTTTATATAAGACTACTCGAGGAAGTTTAGGGGAGATCAATCCCGGTTTTTCTTTTAAAATTGGTTTTTACTTTCTTGTAGACGTGCGCAAAAATTAAATGAGATTTTTCCAGTTTTTTGCCGTTTTACTCCTCCCCCCACTTCATTGCATACGGATTATACACGGTGTATCATATACGGAATATACACGATGTATCATATACGGAATATACACGATGTATCGTAAACGGAATATACACGGTGTATCATATACGGAATATACACGATGTATCATATACGGAATATACACGATGTATCGTAAACGGAATACACACGGTGTAGCATATACGGAATATACACGATGTATCATATACGGAATATACACGATGTATCGTATACGGAATATACACGATGTATCGTATACTGAATATACATGATGTATCGTAAACGGATCATACACGATGCATCGTATACGGCGTATACGGAATATACACAATGTATCGTATACGGAATATACATGATGTATCGTATACTGAATATACATGATGTATTGTAATCGCGCAAAAATCTAGTGGCAGACATTAGAACATTTTGGTCTTACAGTAAGGTTTGTTAGCGCGTCCAAATCATGACGTCAAGCTACAATGTTATCACGTCATAATTGTAACGTCACAGGCATTGATATTTAGACCGACCAACAATACAACGTGTATGTTGTACCGGATGACGTAGGTTCTTATCATGATCCCCTAAAAACAACAACGTAATTCTCCGGCTCTCTTCCAATTATCCAGCAGCAAATTATCTGTGATTATCTGGCGTGCCATCTATCCCGTGGTTTATCGATGTAGGAATTAGCCGAGATGACAAGACA